GGAATTCTTACTTAGAACATGGAGGACCCCCCAAAACCTCTGTGTATATATATATATAGAGCGATGTACATACGATTCGAACATCAGGTTTGGAAAGTTTTTATTATATGAATATATAGTGCCGGACAACTACAATATTCAAAATATATTATATATACACAGGATTTTCCAAAATGCACGTAGATAGCTGGTGGGATTCTTACTTAGAACATGGAGGAATCTCCAAAACCTCTGTGTATATATATATAGCGATGTACATACGATTCGAACATCAGGTTTGGACAGTTTTTATTATATGAATATATAGTGCCGGACAACTACAATATTCAAAATATATTATATATACACAGGATTTTCCAAAATGCACGTAGATAGCTGGTGGGATTCTTACTTAGAACATGGAGGAACCCCAAAACCTCTGTGTATATATATAGCGATGTACATACGATTCGAACATCAGGTTTGGAAAGTTTTTATTATATGAATATATAGTGCCGGACAACTACAATATTCAAAATATATTACATATATACACAGGATTTTCCAAAATGCACGTAGATAGCTGGTGGGATTCTTACTTAGAACATGGAGGAACCCCCAAAACCTCTGTGTATATATATATAGCGATGTACATACGATTCGAACATCAGGTTTGGAACGTTTTTATTATATGAATATATAGTGCCGGACAACTACAATATTCAAAATATATTATATATACACAGGATTTTCCAAAATGCACGTAGATAGCTGGTGGGATTCCCCAAAACCTCTGTGTATATATATATATAGCGATGTACATACGATTCGAACATCAGGTTTGGAAAGTTTTTATTATATGAATATATAGTGCCGGACAACTACAATATTCAAAGTATATTATATATACACAGGATTTTCCAAAATGCACGTAGATAGCTGGTGGGATTCTTACTTGGAGAACATGGAGGAACCCCCAAAACCTCTGTATATATATAGCGATGTACATACGATTCGAACATCAGGTTTGGAAAGTTTTTATTATATGAATATATAGTGCCGGACAACTACAATATTCAAAATATATTATATATACACAGGATTTTCCAAAATGCACGTAGATAGCTGGTGGGATTCTTACTTAGAACATGGAGGAACCCCCAAAACCTCTGTGTATATATATATAGCGATGTACATACGATTCGAACATCAGGTTTGGAAAGTTTTTATTATATGAATATATAGTGCCGGACAACTACAATATTCAAAATATATTATATATACACAGGATTTTCCAAAATGCACGTAGATAGCTGGTGGGATTCTTACTTAGAACATGGAGGAACCCCAAAACCTCTGTGTATATATATATAGCGATGTACATACGATTCGAACATCAGGTTTGGAAAGTTTTTATTATATGAATATATAGTGCCGGACAACTACAATATTCAAAATATATTATATATACACAGGATTTTCCAAAATGCACGTAGATAGCTGGTGGGATTCTTACTTAGAACATGGAGGAACCCCCAAAACCTCTGTGTATATATATATATAGCGATGTACATACGATTCGAACATCAGGTTTGGAAAGTTTTTATTATATGAATATATAGTGCCGAATATATAGTGCCGGACAACTACAATATTCAAAATATATTATACATACACAGGATTTTCCAAAAATGCACGTAGATAGCTGGGGGGATTCTTACTTAGAACACGGGGGAACCCCAAAACCTCTACTTAGAACATATATGAACATATATGTTCTAAGTAGTGGTCCAGGATCTCTACTTAGAACACGTTTTGGAATTCCAAAACCAATGTTCTAAGTAGTTGTCCGGCGCTATATATATCAATATATAATAATATATATATACATAGAAATTACACATATATCATATGATATATATATATATTATACATAGTTGGTGAACTCACTTGGTGAAAATGACTCCAATTTCACTATGGGTGAAAATGTATCTAGTCTATAGATATCATGGGCCTTGTACCCATCACTGGGGGATTGTACAACCACCTGGTAGGATCGTGAGTCCATCTGGCAATATCTTACTGGTTGGTCGTTAATTGCTAGTCCCAATCTATAGTTAATATGAATGGGGCTCATTATTCCCAATATAAGTATAGTTACTCTATATATATATATTATTATATTATTATATCTGGTTGTTGGTTTTTCGCCACCCCTCTGAAAAATATGAGTTCGTCAGTTGGGATTATGAAATTCCCAATATATGGAAAGTCATGAGGTTCCATGGTTCCAAACCACCAACCAGATCCCCATTAATCCCCATTAATCTCCATTAATCGCTATTAAATCCACATTAATCCCTATTAAATCACCATTAAATCACCATTAATGTTCCAAACCACCACCCAGCTTACTGGCTGATTTTCCAGTCAACAGGAGATACCCCACTGACTTGTTGTCGCTTTCACCATGGAGACCTGACTATGTCAGCTGTGTCCCGGCCTGCAAGATCGAAAGGTTTCCTTGGTGGAATGTTCCAGAGCCAAATATTAGGCTCCGGCTACTCCAACAAGAGCAGTAAATGGTCACAAGAACGAAACTTAAATGGAGATATTCCGGAGATATTCTGGGAATGCTGTGATGTGAAATGGTGATATCAAACTTGGAATCATGGACATATGAGGCAAAGATCATCTACACCATCCTGGAAAGACTTTCCAGCTTCTTTTTTGGAGTTGCTCTACTCCAACGAGACCAACGTGCAGGACGTCAGCATACGTCAGCCGAGAAATCCAAGCATCCAAGCAGCATACCGTAGCAAACGAGTAAGTTGTAGGAAAGATTTTCCCATGTTGTTATTTATGACCACAAGAGTTTGGGGGGCCGCCGGGGTGGCATGACACGGTAGAAACTATGTCTAACAGATATTACAAGGTGGTACCACCATAGTTAACTAACTTGGTTTGTAAGTCCCGAAACCATGATTTATGATATATCTATACCCATAGGATCCATGGTGCTGGTATAGATGCTAACATTTGGGGTATATTGATGGTGCATGTTACCATATATAGCATACATGGATCCTATGGGATAGTTGATGAGGTTTGGAAATCAACTACTGCAATGGGCACCACCCAAGGCACCACCCTGTCGGTCGGAGCCGAGGTTCGGCATCCACCAGCACGGTGTTTCGTTCCGTCTTGGCCATCAACCGTGCTGACCTGGGAAACTGGCCATGCGTCAGGATGCCGATGAGAACTGGTTTCAGCTGGTCGAAACTCTCAGCAAGTCTAGACTATCTAGATTTACCACCCTCTGGTAAACGTTTACATAACTAGGGAAAATCAGCATTTTCAATGGGTAAATCAACTATAAATCACCATTTTCAATAGCTTTTTGTATCTTTACTAAAGACTAGATGTCAGAGACAAAAAATTCTCGTGACACAGACCCAGTGTTGGCAATCCACCAGGGTTGATTTTAAGCCCACTTCATCCCATTGATTTCATCATGTTTCACCATGGATGTTGGCTGGCTTATCTTCAGGATTAGTAGCTTCTCAACATGCAACGAAAACAAGGACGTTTCACCGCGCTCGCTTATAATCCCCATTAAGTATAGACATATCTATACCACAAATCCAAGATATTGATAGATATTGAAGTTATGTTCACCAACTCAGCGATATACTTAGCGATGCCGAACTGGGGTACCACCTTGTGCATGCCTGTTTTCTGACTGCCAAGGAGCAAATTCACCGTATCCCCCAGGACTGTGTATTCTCGCCGAATGGAGCTTCCCACTGTGCCTCTCTTCGCAACAAAGCGGCTGAGGGGAAGAAACTGTAGACCCATTGTGACTCGAGAAAAAACTCAACTCGGTTAAGTGTGGCTATAGCTATCTATAGCTGCTAGCCCATCCTGCGTTCGAGTACAGTATAGCCCAGACTTTCAAGACATGCTTTCTGATCAGGACGGGGACGATCATTTTCCGATCATGGTGAGTTCACTATGTCACCATACGTCGATGGCCGGATATGGGGCCCCTGTAACTATGGTGTGTTATACGAGTATCAGTTATATCAGTTATATCCATACCTAGACATCCAAAAGCTGCATTTTTTTGGTCTGGACTGAAAAGTAGTGAGCGACCACAAATCGAACAATTGCTGAATTTGCCCTCTGTCAGTCACATTTGGAAGGACCAAAAATATGACACAAAATGACGCAGAAAAGACGCGAAAGACCAACTTTTTGACACCAAAACTGTGTCATTGAATCCATCACTCTTAGCCCAAAAGTGATTTTTAGATATTTTTAGGCCCGCACCCGAGAATCCACAAAGATCGAAAATTCTGCGGCTCAAGGACTGTCCAGGTATAAATATCCATCTTTCCGGAATATCACGTGGAACAGGGCCATCGAAAGAACAGCTCAGGTAAAATTATCCAACGAAATGGGTCATTTTCCATAGCCATGTTAGATCACTGGAGGGTATTTCAGTATCCCATTTAAAAAAAACTGCTTGATTCATGAGTTTGTAGCCAATTAACAATTCAGAGAGAGAGGTCCACTAAATTCAGGGTGGATAGACGCCCAATTAGGATTTTGGTCCATGACTGGTCACTTGCCCCAGGGACGTCAACCCCATATGAACAAACCCTGGTTGATTCATTGGGGCGGGGATAAAAGTGATGATTTGCTGCTAAGAAGCGTGAGAAGGTACTTCCCCCAATGCAAAAGTCCTAATCCAAAATCTGGGGTGGACAATACCAGGGGTTCTTCAGTACCCCAAATTTTATCATTTAGGGATTTTTTACGGGGTATCAGAAAGCTTACATCTTACATTCCACCAAAAAAAGACGCAAAAAATAATACGTTATTTAATGTACAGTACCCTCTGGTAATTTAACATAGCTATTGAAAATCACCATTTTCAATGGGTAAATCCACTGTAAATCACCATGTTCAATAGCTTTTTGTATGTTTACCAGAGGGTATTAATTATGGCATTCGCTTTACCCCTGAGGCCTCACAGGTCTGAGGCCCGGACCACACCACACAGTGCCGGTCGCCACGCCGCTCTGCCCCTCCAAGCCTTCCTCGGCCAAGGTGTCGCAGAAGCGCGCCGCAGCCAGCACGGCACGGAGCCTCAAGTGTCTTTTCCGAAAATCCCGAGGGAATGGATGGGACATGCCCTTTTCACCATGGGAAATATAGGGAAACATGTGGGAAAAGAAACATGGGGAAATATGATGAAATATGGGAAATTCGCGCACTAAATGGAAGCTTCAATAGGAAAATCATCGAATTCAATGCTGGATTTATGGAGAATGATGGAAAATCGTCCATTTATTTCGATGACTTACCGTTAACATGGCCGTTTTCCACTATGTCAAAGTACCAGAGGTGCTTAATCCGTTTCCAGTGTCAAATCTGTTGCTGTACTGGATCTATTCACTGCCCTTCTTTTTGGTGGTTATATATCCAGGTATCAGATTGGGGAAACATCTCCGATGAATTCCCATTACATCCCAAAATCAGTAGTGTGAACCAATGTCAACTCCCCATGTCTTACCTTCTGGTAAACTAACATAGCTATAGAAAATCACAATTTTGAATAGGCAAAACAACGGACTAAATGGGCAATTTTCCATAGCAAGCTGTTAAATTACCAGAAGGTAACATGAATTCCCATTACATCCCATTGTCTAGGATGGTGAATGTCAACCCCCATTTGTTTGATGTTGGTGAACCAATGTCAACCTGCCATGTTTTAATGCTTATCCTTGCTATTGTGGTTTCACCCCCCCCGCTTGAGGCTCAGCAACGGGTCGTCGATGTAGTGGTTCAGAGGTGGAAGTCCAAAGGCACACAGCAGCAGCATCCCTGGTGAATCAATGCTGGACGCAGAAGCAAAGATAGATGCCATTAATTTCCAACTTAAGTGATCTAAATATATTCAAATATATTTAAATGGTTGGTACTGAACTATTTAAGGATTATTTGGTTGTATCATTAAACCAGTTATAGAAAAATAGCTTCGGACCCCAAGAAATGGGCATGAGATGCCATGGCAACACACTGCTCCCACCTTTGTCGTCCACCAAGAACTTGTTCACACTTCCTGTTGACCGTGAATCGTCAAGAAGGGGAAGGGATGCAGCAAGAGAAATGGATCTGCATCCCTTAAAATATCGCAACGATCCACAACGATATAAAAAACAAGTATAATCTGTGCAGGCAAGACTAGTGATTAATCCAAATTCAGCATCATTGCTATCACTTGAAATTCCTGAACCACGAAACATCGCATTCACAAAATCGGTTGCTGTCACTGCGACACCGCACAGGAACCCATTCCGGTCACTGGCTTACTTTTTGTATCTGTTTGCTGCTGTTTGCCACACAATGGTAAATGTGATGTGAAAATCTCTGAACTGTTTTTAAATAATCACTAGCAATAATATGGTTGGGAAACTCCATTCGTAGCAACTCCCTCCGTTCACAACTGGATAGCTAAAATGAATTAACATGGCTTGAGGTATTCGATCCATTCTGATCTTGTTCTATCTTCAAGCGGATATCGCCCATGATCCATGCATATCCTCGAGATTCCTCGAGTATTTATGGACAATCAACCATGTTCAGATCATGTCCTAGGAAAAACCATGCATTTCCATAGCTTTTTGTATGCTTACTTGGGGGTTCAGTTCCAGGTATAGGTGGTTATATACTCATAATTAAAGGGGTATAAAGGGGTTATATCCTAACTATTCCCAACTTTGGTTGTCACGATGGTTATATTCGGTTGCATCCATTAGTCCCAACTGCACCAGCACAAAAAATCATCCCAGCAGACTTTTGGAAACTGGGGAATACTGGGGAAAAAAGATAATGGTTAATGAATTTCATAATCTGGATAAATTAGTGTAAATCCATTGATAGTAGTGGTTAATAGTGGCTAATAGTGGTTAATAGTGGCTAATAGTGGATAATGGTAATAAATAAACCCTTCATAAAGCCTTGATGAATCTGCCAAACTTATGGAAACCTGGATCTTACCGAACCCAGGGACCCAGCCTTCGAAGGCATAGGTGGCCTGTTGTAAGAGCTGCACCACCAGCTGCGTCCGTTCCACGTCCACGTTGTCTTCTTCACCGCCGTTTCCCGGAGCAAGGCCTAGCTCCAGGGTGGTCAGGGTCCAGCTTCCATGGCTGGTTTTTTTTTACTATGGAAAGTACCAACAACAAACCAGGGGCACAACTTCAACCCAAAATCAATCATAAATATTGGAGTATAGATGTATAGAATATTGTAGAATCTGGATTGACCAGTCACCGGCATTGGTGTTTAAGTCCCCCCAAACCCGCCACAAACCGCGTTTCGCCCCAAACGCGCCTCGGATGGAGAGGAAAATCACAGAGACGCGCCGCATTTCGGGTTCCAGGCCCAAAATCAGGGACTCGGATTGTTCCCAGAGTTTCCTGCGGCTGATGATGGATCCACCTCAGTGTGGTTGATATTTTCAACCTGTTGGATTCTGAGGGGTAGGGATGGAAGGAAGGTGGATATTCCATTATATTCCTAAGATCACTTTATCTACAATAAAGAGTGTATGAATATCATTTTTGTGCCCCACATGGCTGGAAAATCCTCCAGAATTCATCCCCCTTGCAATTCGGCCTCCGACCCTGACCCCTGAATCTTTAAGGGACCACTGGTAGCCTCTTAAAGAATGCGAACCAGGGCAAATTTCAGCCTTAAAGAATCTAACCCCAATGAACCAAGATTGCAACACAGTAGCCAGGTATGTCCCGTTAAAAAATTGGAGACCGTCAATAACACACCAAGGGGTGCCCCTTTAAAGAATTGGATACCCAAGTTGGAGTCAAGCATGAAATGTTCTGAATATTTTTAAGATTTTATGGATACATATCATGTACATTCATGTACATGTTAAAGAGATATGTGGATGTGGATGATATATGAATATATATATATATGGTGCAGTTCCTAGAATCTTCCAAGGAAGGCCTCTTAAAGAATAGGAGACCGTCAAACAACAGGATTTCCTTAAAAAATAGAACTGTTTTTTTTTTGCCGGCCAGGTATGTCCCTTAAAAAATACAGTTTTTTAAGGACATCATGTCCTGAACTTTTTAAGGAAAATTCCCAGGAGGATCAGAATTCAATGATTTCCAGTCGTTGTTTGATTCCCCAACGACTCCCAGTCGTGTAGCCCTCGTCCTCCTCACCGCATGGGGCACGTAGCGCTGCACCACGCGCGCATCCAAGGCCCGCTCTAAGCGACGAAGTGAGCTGCGAATGCGCGAATCCTGTCAGCTGGCCAATCCTCAACACACTTCATTGTGGGAATATTGAATATTGGTAACCTCTGGTAAACTAATTTACAATAGGATAATAGGTAAATCTACTGTAAATGATCATCCGCAATAGCTACGATCAATTACCAGAGGGTAAATCTTCCATGACACCCCGGAGTCCGTAGGAAGTTCACCACCAAATACGACACGGCACCGCACATGGAGGATCATCCCAAGGATCGTAAGTAATGAATAACCTTTCTTGGTAAGTCCCAGAGTAGGCGTGCACATCGTATATCAAGGGAACATAACATAAGTATACATAAGTAGTGTATGTTTCCTAATCACTGAGTGCATCCATCATGGGGTATGGCGTATGACTATGGTATCTTATAGCAGTTAGGATCGGATGATCATCCAATACCAGTCCCGCTATGGCCCGCCATGTCCTGTCTGCAGTCACTCGGCAAATCATGTCGTTCACACTTCAGCAGGGCATAGTGCCTGCTGTCTCCAGGACACACCTAGCGATTGCGGGGCTGTTGAAGGAATTGGAAAGGTGGGAATCACCACTAGGTTTACCAGGTTTAATGGTTTAAGCATGTTTCAACCAGAGTCTTATCGGGGTTCGCCTTGATTTTATGAAATTCGGGATGAACATGATTCGGATGGTTGCAGCATAGCATGTTTCTAAAGGGCAAGTCCTCATTTTGCTTCCAGTTGTATCTATATGCTTGAAGTCAATGTAATCTTGCCATGCTTCTAATGATCGACTGGTCACCATGTTCATTTGTAATCACCATAGCTATAATGGGTAAATCAACTCTTTCGACTGGGCCATGTTTCAATAGTTTTTTCTATAGTTTACCAGAGGGTATCCAAAACACCCGTGGCCACTTAGAGTCCACTTCTCAATGGGGGCAGAGGTACCCCACAGCAGCTGCCTGGAATTCAAAGATGTCATTGCTACCTCGGCGGCGTGCCCATAGCACAAGGTACATCCCAACGTTCGTTTTTGGAGATTCTGCAGTCATAGGCTTAGATATATATATATATATGATAGATATACATTGTGCATGAATACTATAGTGTTGGATTTTGTTGGATATATAAATATCAAATAGACAACATGTGTACATATAAATACATATATATATATATATATTATATTATATTATATATTATATATTATATATATTATATTATATATTATATATTATATATTATATATTATATATTATATATTATATATTATATAATATATATAACATATATATAAAATATATCATAGTTCTATATATTATATAATATATATATATATAACATATATATAAAATATATCATAGTTCTATATATATATATAATAACTTATATAACATATTTCCCCCTCTCGGGTTTCTCCCCAGTTCCCACTGAGGTCGGAGCCTAAGATCTCTTGCACCGTGGGACTTACCACGGTCTCCCCAGGCTTTGCTAAGGGTTCAGCGATCGCTACCTGCAGGAGATGGCCAAAAAAATGGTGCTTTCATGGTGGTTTGATAGCGGTTTAATGGTGATTAATAGTGTTTAAGACTGTTTAATAGTGTTTAATAGTGATTATGTAGTGATTGATAGCAATCTTAGTTGGAAAGTACTTACTATAAGCTAGTTCGGCAAAATTTGTTGGTAGAGTTATAATTTGTTGAGTTTATTTAGCTGGTCATTTAGTTTGTCTAATGTGGGTAAAACAACGCCGTGTTTACCATCCATGACGAAAAAACCTGGAGAGGGATGGTCCAAATGACTTGTTTTTTGCCACATGGCGTGTCTCATGGGCTTCAATGGGGTTTAATGGTATATGTATTGATAAAGCTTGTTATCCGGTGAAATACTGGATGGATGATATGAAATTATATATGTCAATATATGATTATATCAATGTCTTTATATGGGACAGCTACTACAGTATTCTCCACTCGCTTGTGGAACATGGACCAGTGGACCGCATATCTCACCAAAACCATAGAGGCAGAGTATTCTTCGGGAGCCAGATACATTATACATATCATAAACATATAGACAAATAGCTGACATATCATATATAAATACTTACATATATATATATATATGTAAAACAATGTCACAAACCATCCCCCAGTCAGCACCATTTTTATAGGTGGTATAAACAAACCACTCCCAGTCATGGATGTTTCATGCCATTGTTTTACCCACATTAATTCATTATCCATTGAATGTTGATATTGTTATTGTTAATATATTCATGGATCATGGTCGGTATTAATGAATATTAATGACAAATTGGTGATAATAGATAATGTTAATAAGTATTGACATAATGACATAATTATGTTTTATTAGTAGATGGGAATTAATGGTAGTGAATATATCAATGGATAGATAAACAATTATGTTTTTTTCATAGTTAGATAAGCTAACTACATCTAACTACAGTAACACTACGTAACATTAGCTACATTAGATACAATTATTATTTATATAAATTAATTGATATTAATGACAATCAACCCCCATATATAGTTGACGGATAAGAAATGCACATATAATATACAGATACAAATATATATATATATATATAATTATACATAACTATATATATATATATTTACATAATGTTCCCTTTTGAAAGTGTGTAAAACAGCTGGAGATCTGCCTCTTCCAGTGGCTGCCCGACCGCGCAGAATTCCCAGCGGTCTAAGAGTCCACCTAAACGACACGACGCGGATGTGCCGCGAAGGCCGTGACGTGTCGTAGGAAGGCCGTGGCACGGGAACGAAGAGTTGGAAAGTACTATAAAAATGGTGGCTTAATGGTGGTTTTATAGCGGTTTAATGGTGATTAATAGTGTTTAAGACTGTTTAATAGTGGTTAATAGTGATTATGTAGTGATTGATAGCAATCTTAGTTGGAAAAAATGGAAGGCTATATATATATATATATATTGTACTTACTATATGGAAAGTACTGACCGATATAATGGGCAAGTGTTCTGTACTTACAGTGTTTTCTCGTGTACTACAAGTGTACGACTATATGGCGTTACTTATACAGTTGGCCTCTATAGTAACACTATGACTATTCTACACTAAATCAGCCGGAACTCCTTCAATTATATATGTATGATTCTATATGATTCGTATGTATATTCATATATAGTACTAGTTGTAACTATCCATTGATTTCTTCCATGAACATCTCCAAGGATCCAATGTTCCATCCCAAAGGGTATAGTCTTGATTAGGAACGATCATTGAATCTTTGGGTTCAACGCTTGAACCTATGCCTTTCAAAGACAATTAGCTGTGAGAACCATGTCGAACCCCATGTCGACTGGATGATCCGCTGCCGTGTGTTTCAGCTTGTTTCAAGTAGAGTATACACATTATACACACATTGGCTGTGGGTCAAACTTGTTTAAACCCTACACTTGGATGCTTAGCAAACATCCATGATCAAAACAAGTGGTTTTGTGGACCTGCAATTGGCAGCGCCCCCAGGGGCCCCAGTTTCCCGCCAAGTTACCCAATTGCAGTAGCTTCAACGGCCCAAAACCCACACCGATATGCAGCGTCAGCGTGACACCGGGCACCGGCGTTTGGCCGAAGGATTGCCTCGGCCCGAGACAATATTAGGACCTTTGGTAATCAAAGATGGCCGAGAAATCAATTATAAATAGAGCCTATTTTGATTGCTGAAAGGCATCACAAACAATGTAATATATATATATATTGCAACAATGGGTCGTCACTGGCTTATATCGACGTTTACGACTCTTGGGGGTTCAATTTAATATCAACCTTACCCACTGGCGCGTCACCAACATTCGTCTCTGGTAGTCCTTAAAACCAGGCTTAAAACATTGGAGGCAGTAGTAACCCCCCCCAAAAAAAAACAAAAAGGCAAAGTACATAAGTACATTATATATATATATATATATCACATTTTTTTAGATTCGGATTTGGCCAAAGTCGATCTTTTGAGGGTTCCTCAAAAAAATAAAACAAAAGAGTTCCATACCACATCCATCCAAATGGCGCTTGTCGCTGTAGACTTTCACAGCACGAACACGCACTGAGCACTGCTCTCTGACGGGCCTGACACGTCAGACGAAGTTGGCACTTGGGGGTTAACAAGGTTTAATTCGCCCAAGAACACGATAGTTCACCAGCTCAACTCCTAGAAAGTGGTACTTCACCAGCTACTTTTAGCTCAGATCCAAACCATCCAAACCATCCAAACCATCCAAACCATCCAAAGCACGTGGTACTTCACCAGCTAAACTGGTACTTTAGCACAAGGCAACGTCAAAACCATTTTGAAAAAACAATAGTTTAGCTGCAGTTTAGCTGCTTTAAACCATAACAACATGGCCCGCGCCTCGGCCCGAGCTTCCACCGAGCCTGACCATTCTCGTGCCAGGGGGGCTACCTTGTGGGTATATCTATATACGTATGATGTTTTTTTATTAATAACATGGCGATTTCGACTATGAATACACATTGATACATCTTGTAGAGATATGATATGACCGGAATTTTCTGTTGGTATACGGGCATTGCAAAGAAAAACGGACTCACGGGCCGATGGCGGCTCCTCATGCAGGTGAGCAAAAAAAAACGCCATGAAAGTCATGTTTCAGAAACCCTTCGGAAAAAAACATAACACACATTGAGAAAATCACCTTCACTAGGAAGACTTGAATACTGTACTTATGATTGATTGAACTTAAAAAACAACCATTACCTGTTAGGATAAGTATTGGATCATAGTTGATCCCATGGGCATTATAATCCTTACTTCATCTTGGATGGATTTTGAAAGAAACATTACACAACAGTTACAAACGTATTGATAATCACTATATATACATCAAATAGTCTAGTTGATAAACAACAAATCGTTGACATGGTTTTCCTAGTGATTTTGGACTGCCAACTACGGGTCAAACATGTGTTGTTGTTGTTGTTGTTGTTGTTTCGCCTGGTCTTGAAAGCAAAATTATATCAAATTAACATGAAGTACAATCCTTGACCTTGACATGTGTTCAGTCCTTAACATGATAGAATTAATATACGTGTATATTATACATATACACAATCTATATACATATAGATATATATATATATATACTATAGTATTTGCATCAACGCTATCTAAATAACATATGAGTGCTAGGGTGAAAACATCGTATATGGCTTCTGGACATCCATCCCACAGGGAATACACACATAATGGGAATACAATTCCCCATGAATATGGATGACCCTACCCCCCATATGGGCATCCGTTACTACTCCAAGCCCTGCGACCTGCATCCACTTTCCACAAGATGGTCACGGCGTCGCCGCTGAACTTCAAGACATCGCCGCCATAGCCTTCGGCATCGATCGATTTTGCCATTCGTTTCGGGGATTCCTAAAAGACCTAGATATGATTTCATGAATGAATTTTCCAATGATCATACACTCTGGTAATTTATGGTTTTTATATGCTTATTTAAGATCTTTGAACATCACCATTTGTAACTTCGGTCATGTCTCAGAAAAGTTGTGCCACTTCCAGGTAACTCAACCAACCAAGGAGCTAGTGATGATGTCAATCAAAGCTCCGAAGAAGCCGTTCAAACAGGAGCCGATCTCCTCAGCCTGTTCCAAGGGCGTGATCAGTGGTTCCACAACGAATGGAGTATGTTTTAAATGGTTTTCTATTGCCAATGTCAGATTAGATGAGGTTCGTTAAATCCTCATCGTTCCTTCATCTGCACCATGGTCAAATTCTGTTCAATATCCTTCGCACTTCACATCTAATCTACATCAGATTATATAAATATCATCACTGGTTGGTGGTTTTAACCCTCTTGACAAATATTAGTCAATGGGAAGGATGACATCCCATATATGAAATGGAAAATAACAAATGTTCCAAACCACCAACCAGATATAAACATATCATCACTGCGCATGTTACAAAATTCCTTAACCGTACCGTATGTACCCTCCGGTGTCCGATAAAAACATGGCAGGAAATTCCCACGAAATTTAGTTCAATGGACTTCCCATGGTTGTCCCAGCGAAAAAAAACCTCCATTTGTGGATTCTCTCAGACTACAAACCTCCATTTAGTGGATTCTCTCAGACTCCCCTATGATTTTACGACAAAAACTCGTAATTCAACTAATTCAACTAGAAATTCTCAAAGGTTTTCCATAGTTTTTCCAGTTTTGGTCCGAACTTTTTGATCGAGATGTGCCGCATGGGCTTCTGAGAGTCAATGAATTCTCTTCGATTCAGAAACCAAAATGACTTAGAAAGAAGACATCTTAGGCTAGACATCTAACTTTAGAAGATATTCCTATGATTTCCTATGTCATATTTGATCTTTGGCGTAGAACCTCTCTGTAAACCTAAGAGAATCTAAATGGCAAAATTCATCTTTTCAGGTGTGAAGAAGGCCCGGAACCCATCCAGATTTGCATTCACCTAGATCAGCACCTGAATTTGTGTCCCGCAAAAAAAAAAACTATATTTGTATATAGATGTTCCATGAAAACCATCAATTTATAGATGATTTCCCCATGTTTCCCCTTAAAACCATCCATTTAGAGCTTATCTTCCTATAGATTTTCCCATTAAAACATATGAAAACCTACATTTTTCTGGGTTGTCCATAGGTTTTCCGTAGGTTTTCCACAGGTTAACCCCGGGCACAGCTCTTCGCCGAGGCGCGCCGTGCGGCTGCTTGGCCAAGGCCTCGGTGAGCGCCGTGAAGCCCGAGGCATCGGCGAAGACCACGCAGGCCTCGAAGAAGGCCTCGACGACAGAGGCCGTCTATGGGATGGTTATATTACTATTTTTGTATAGAATCATAATATAGAATAACCATTGTTATAATTATTGTATCTACCATAGAAGAATTACTATAATAATAATATATGATTGTATTGTATAGAATAATTACTATAATAATAATATTGTATAATAGCAGAATCATATGGAATAGTAATAATTAGTCATATATCCCATTAATAGCTAATCATCTAATATATTATAATTATCATACATACCATATTATCTATTATACATCCCATTGTATATTAGCAGAATCTACCATATGATTATAGAATCATATAATAGTCTATGGGATGTATAATAGCTAGTAATATTATTATATTACATATTACGACAGAGGTCGTCTATTGTTATTGTTATATTGTAATAGTAAATTGTAACAATAGTAATAGCAATATATTGTTATAGTAATATCATGTTACTATTGTTACAATAGTATATTGTAATAGTAATATATTGTGATATAGTATAGTAATCGTAATACAGTAGATGGACAAAAAAAACCTACAGACATTTACCAAGTAAAACTATACAATTATACTATGATATCAGTATAATAATGGTTATACTATTATACTATCAAATTACAATATACTATTGTTATAACAATGGTTATATTACGATTATTGTTATTGCAATATAGTATAGTAATATATAGTATTGTTATTGTAATATAGTAATATAGTCAGTGTTACTATAATTGTTAATGTATATGTCTAATAAAATAGTTATTGTACACAGCTTTATATATGGTATAGTCCTATTATTGTTATTGTTAGAATAGTATCTTGTAATTGTAAAAGTATATTGTAATATGTGACTAATATAATAGTTATTGTTACTATAATTGTTGTTGTAATGTATATGACTAATATAATAGTTATTGTACATGGTCTTATATAAGTCCTATTATTGTTATTGTTAGAATAGTATCTTGTAATAGTAATAGTATATTGTAATATATGAATAATATAATAGTTATTGTTACTATAATTGTTATTGTAATATATATGACTAATCAAATAGTTATTGTACAGTATATTAATATTATTCTTATTGTTATAACTATAATAGTATTTTGTAATAGTAATATATTGTAATATAGTATAGTAATAGTAATAGTATATTGTAATAATATATTGTTATATAATAGTATATTGCAATAGTATATGACGATAGCATACAACAATAACTAACTATGTCAGTATTGTCATATGTCATATACAGTAATAGTTAATGTTGTATGACCATACAGTATGCTATGGTAATATTAGACGCAACGCCCACCAATTGCCCTACAGTTTACATGGGGTGGGGTGATGTTGGGATGTTAACGTTCCATTGACCACGTTCCCTCGACCTTGCAGAAGATGTTGATGCTTCGCTCGCGTGGGGTGGGGTGGGGTGGGGTGGGGTGGGGATGTTCACGTTTCTTCGACCACGTTCCCTCGACCTTGCACAAGATGTTGATGCTACGCTCACATGGGGCGGCCTGGGGTGGGGTGGGGATGTTCACGTTTCTTCGACCACGTTCCCTCGACCTTGCACAAGATTTTGGTGCTACACTCACATGGGGCGGGGTAGGGTGGGGTGGGGATGCTCACGTTCCTTCAACCACGTTCCCTCGACCTTGCACAAGAATTTGATGCTACGCTCACATGGGGCAGGGTGGAGATGTTGACGTTCCTTCGACCACGTTCCCTTGACCTTGCACAAGATCTTCATGCTCTGCTTGCATGGGGTAGGGTAGGGTGGGGATGTTCACGTTTCTTCGACCACGTTCCCTCGACCTTGCACAAGATGTTGATGCTACGCTCACATGGGGCGGCCTGGGGTGGGGTGGGGATGTTCACGTTTCTTCGACCACGTTCCCTCGACCTTGCACAAGATTTTGGTGCTACACTCACATGGGGCGGGGTAGGGTGGGGTGGGGATGCTCACGTTCCTTCAACCACGTTCCCTCGACCTTGCACAAGAATTTGATGCTACGCTCACATGGGGCAGGGTGGAGATGTTGACGTTCCTTCGACCACGTTCCCTTGACCTTGCACAAGATCTTCATGCTCTGCTTGCATGGGGTAGGGTAGGGTGGGGATGTTCACGTTTCTTCGACCACGTTCCCTCGACCTTGCACAAGATGTTGATGCTACGCTCACATGGGGCGGCCTGGGGTGGGGTGGGGATGTTCACGTTTCTTCGACCACGTTCCCTCGACCTTGCACAAGATTTTGGTGCTACACTCACATGGGGCGGGGTAGGGTGGGGTGGGGATGCTCACGTTCCTTCAACCACGTTCCCTCGACCTTGCACAAGAATTTGATGCTACGCTCACATGGGGCAGGGTGGAGATGTTGACGTTCCTTCGACCACGTTCCCTTGACCTTGCACAAGATCTTCATGCTCTGCTCGCATGGGGTGTGGGGTGGGGATGTTCGACCACGTTCCCTCGCCCTTGCGCAAGATGTTGATGCTGCGCTCAAATGGGTGGGGTGGGGTGGGGCGCTGCTAAGGTTCACCCGTCCTTTCGCAAGACTTTGATGCTGTGCCCAAGATCACGATGCCCAAGATCACGATCCCCATGATGTTGATATATGTTTCTGAAATGTTGATGATAATAATGACGATGATCCCGTTTGACTCTTCCAAACGCGGGGCAAATGGTTGATCGTAATATTACTATAACAATAATGGATGGCATATAATAAGGTTAGTATTTATAGTTGTTATAGTGATGGTATTTCTATAGTAATACTTAGTTAATGAGATTAATGTTATATTTAATAGTTAATATGTTATTACTATGGCATGGGATGGTGTATTAATATGTCTTATATATTTATAGTTGTTATAGTTCAGAAATAACTACTTTAATAGGAAAAATAGTAACAATAATGGTATGGTCATGTATGGTGTCGTCATGTTACTATGGTATGGTATGGTACTACTATATATATATATGTTATATTAGAGGTATTGCTATATTAGAGGTATTGCTATGATATCTAATATTATTATTGTCATAGCGGTATATTAATAGTCTAACTTAGTTGTTATTTGAGGTATTCCTATATTAGATGTTATCATTATGTAACAACTACTATAATAGTCAATAGCTAGTTAATGGAGAACATAAGTTAATAGTTCAGTCATAACTACTAAAATAGTAACGGTAATAGTAATAGTTAATAGTAGTTAATTAGACAATGAACTATTAACTAGCTGTATATATTAGTAAAGGCAAATAAGTACTAATTATATTAGTTAAACAACAGTGAGTTAAAGAACAGTAGTTTAGTTTATACTAAATACTAAGTGATGATAGTTCATTACGAACAGTTCAGTATCTAATTAACAATAAGTTCATTAATAGTTTAACTATTATTAAAAGTAGTATATGGGCCACGGTCAATATTTAGTATATAGCTCCAAGTCATCAATTGTTGAAGAGTGTATAATTGTTTTTCAGGTTTTTGTAATATAGCAAATGTTATTGTTTTCTGAAGAGTGTATTATCGTTTTCCACGCCCCAGCTCAATTTCCAAAAGAGTAAAGATGTCTCGAATACTACTTTCCATTTCGGTATTTTTTTACTGTAGCTTTTATACTAATAATGCAACAAAAATAGTGATAATATGTAAACAACAGTTTATTTATGTATTAATACGTGTTAATTGTTATTGATGTTATATATATATACACGGAAGTGATAACACTAGCTTATCAAAACATAATAATGGTTACTGCATGGTATTATATATTATGGTTAACATACTCGGTATTAGTGTTAATGATGATTATACTAGCTATATATTGATGAAACATGATAGATATTGATAACGGTAATATGGTATGATTGTATTGTTATGATTATGGAATAATAGCGTTATTGACATGAAGGTTAATCATGTATCAATGAATTATAATAGTTGTTGTGAAATGTATCATCTATATGTTCTATTACTATATCTATCAAAAGTATTCATAGCTAAAGTATTAACCGATGCTGATAATTGTACTAGTTGATAATTGAATTCTTATAGTTAATGATAGGTATTATCTATCATTGACCCCAATGTATGTATAAAAATATGCAGCAAACGTTTTGTGTCGCATGATTTCACATTACACTAGAAGTTGGTTTTAACCAACACACACGTGGACGTTTAGCGCCAAGCAAAATACAGGATTTGATGAATCAATCAGCGTTTGGTCGAAATGAGGATCGACTAGCAAGCCAAAGTGGATCAACATGATTAAAATGCTATTGAAAATGGCCATTTATAGTGAGTTTTCCCATAAAAAAAATGGTGATGTTCCATAGTTATGTTAGTTTACCAGAGGGTAGTGACTCGACATGATTAAACCAGCAAAGATTTTTTCGATTCGACAAATCAAAATGGGGATATGAAGCACTAGCAATGGGGAACTTATCAACAAATGATCCATTTGTTGACATTGATCCACAGAATAAAAAAAAGGAAATCACATCAAAAGAACAGGGATACAGTTGATACTCAAATGATACAGTCTGGCCCGCCTTGCTGGGGTTGTACTCGCCGGCACGCTTCCCCAGAATGGCCTTTGGAAAATCATCTCTGCAAATGGTATCTGGCCAGTTGCTTCATCGATGTTCCATGGGTGGTGCAAGCAGGTGCCTCCCTGATCGATCAGCCACGAGATCCAGCCGAACCTAAACTTACACGTGAAAACAATGCAAGCTATGCCCGTGTTACACATATATATTATATATAATATAATAGTAATCATAATAATAATGATAATGATAATGATAATAATAATGATAATGATAATAATAATAATATATAAATAGTCATATAGAGATAGATATCCTCATGGCTATAGGTACATTTTAAGCAAAGCCATCCCACTTTGCTCACGCCAGCTGTTTTCCTCTGCATTCTCTGCATTCGGCATTGCCTTTGGCATTGCTTGGGCTAAACTTGCGAGTCTTTTCAGTACCCAGCAGAGAGGCATAAAACTCTTCGGATGATGACTCTGTGGGCCACTTTCGACAACGCGGCGTGACGGTCCATTCAGGTTATTTCCTGTTGGAAATCCATCCTTTGATGAAGTCCTTGGTCTGGTTGCAATAACCCACGTTTTCTCGTGGAAATATATGGCGGCTTCCCAATAAATGGGGGTACCCCAAAAACGCTGGATAGTTTATTTCATGGAAAATCCATCAATGGATGATGACTGGGGGTACTTCCATGACTTAGGAAACCTCCAAATATTTATATAAATTTTTGATCTTTATATATATATATATCCATATATTATTATATAAATCAAAATCAGCTGCTTGATTGGTGAACTCTTTATCTGTGCTGGGGTGATTGTTCTTGCGGTCAGCGTTGCTGCAAATCTACGCTGGCTTTGTCCTCATTGGCACATGTTGGTGTTCCGCTATGTGTATATATATATATGTATATATATATATATATGTATATATATATATATGTGATGTTTGTATTTTTTCGACATGTCATCACATATAGTATAACAACCCCAAAGACATGAGCATAGTGATTCATGACTTTTCCACTGTATGTATCAAAGATGTGAGTATTATATGAATGCTTTGAACATGTGAGCCATTCATCAACCTGTTTATGTACAAGGAGTGTAACATATGGATGCTTTGGTCATTATAAGGAGTTGTACTGCCGGGTTATTGGGGAATATATGTACGTATATAAATCATAATATATATATATATATATATTGGTTGATGGTTTTAACCATCTTGAAAAATATGAGTTCGTCAATAGGAAGGTTTTTCTCCCATATATCAAATGGAAAATAAAAAAACATGTTCCAAACCACCAAACAGAGAGATATATCTACTATAACTTTGGAAAATCACCATTTTTAGCATCATATACCCAACTATCATATATTATCATATTCCCATATATTATAACCAATAGTAGGGACTCCTATCGACCAACTAGTATCTTCAGGGGTATGTTTTTTCACGGCTCATGGTAGACATCGTTAAAATGCTCTGCGACAGTGACCAGACATGGTAAAAATGGATCATACCAAACGGGGGCCCCCGCGCTGTTCACATTTAAAAACGTTGGTAATTATATATAATCATCATTAAGTATTGTAAGTGTAATCTACCCAAACAAATACTCTCAAAGCTTTTGACTCATACAAGTTCTGTATAAGTTCTGTATCATGTACTGACATCTTATTAGATATAGCAACCTCCAAAAAGATAGAGCAAATATCGAAAAGTAACATCCGAAAATTGCGGTTTTCATACTTTTTCATACTTTTTCTACGTCTTCCAGATACTATAAATGTGATTTCTATGGTTAATATATCGATAATATATGGATTATCTAGTTAACCAATCCCATATATTAACCATAGATATCCATATATTACTGTTTCATAGATACTGTGCTTTTCCAGATGTTCAAACGGTTGTGTCATGTTCTCACTTGAAGACGACTGCTGTTTCTGTCTCCAGCGGATCTCCAATGTAGTGAGCAGAGGCTTCAAACAAACAGCGGCCTGGGGAATTATGGCTTCATGGCGGTTAATAAATGGATAATCTTAATCTATGGTTAATATATGGGATTCTGATCCATGGTGAACCAGCAAAAAGACAACTTCTGAATCTTGTGAGTTGTGACATGAAAACGTGAACTGTTCTGCAATGTTTTTTTCACCGTTCACATGTTCGATCACCTTGTGCCACTGCTCTAGATAAATAAATTTCATGTATATATCTTTCGCCTCTCATATCTTTCTCTAGTGCCACTTTCTGCCACTGCTCATCAGATAAATTTCATGAAAGATTGAAACACCGCAACTGGCAGTTCCATGATCTTGTGCATGAGCACTGCAAATTCTGCGTCGCTGCCGCGTGCCATCCTGCTACACCTCAGCCGTGGGGCTGTGGCTCCTGGGATCGTTGGCTGCAAACCCTTGATATCCTGGTTGGTGGTTGACCTACCCCTGGAAAGAAAAATAAAATTCCATGGTTCCAAAGCACCAACCAGTATCATATTGTTTGGGTGTGTTGTTTGAGTGTGGGCGAACCCTGGGGAGAGAACATGTTTCTTCACCGTCAAATACAGCAAAAGTGGGTTCCTCTACCATCTTCTAATTCATCCTGTTTCGTGGTTTCCCTCTCATCGAATGGGGGAAGTATCGTCCCGCAATTGAAGTAAACAAGTCGGACAAACATAGCTGGTTCATAAGAATCTGGGAATGACTTCTTAGTTCTTGGAAATTCATTCAATCCTTAGATCTCACCATGTCCCCCCTCCGCACAAATCTGTCCCAGCAACTTGTGCAGCACCCTCAAGTAGATCAGATCTCGGCGCCTTTCCCAGTTGAGATGTCGACTCTGTCGGTCTGCCAGGGTGTTCAAGACGGGCTCCAAGACGGGTTCCAGCTTTCCTGCGACGTCCAATGACATGAGGATCGCTTCCGTTTTTAAGACAAATTCATTTCATGTCCCAAGAAGTTGTCCCAAAATCATATCTCATATTATATTACCATCTTATATTCCCATGTATACAATGTATACTTACATATAGATATATGTACATATATCATATACGTATATCCATGATATCCCACAGGTTATATATATATATACATATGTAGTATACAAACTAACTAGTCGTTTATTCATTACAGTGTATAGGTCTTATATGTATATGGTCCAGACGATGAACACCATTCTAATCCATTTTATGTTTGTTTCAATAGTTTTTTGTTTGAATATGTTTTTCATATTCTTAATATAGCACAGCGCCCCCATCCTATATCCATAGTTGCGGGTCATGGGGCCGGCGCAGACCACATATGTATATCTATCTATCTATCTATCTATCTATGAATCTATGAATCTATCTATCTATCTATCTATCTATCTATCTATCTATCCAGCTATCTATCCATCTATCTATCTATATATCGATCTATTTATCTATCTATCGATCTATCTATCGATCTATCTATCTATCTATCTATCTATCTATCTATCTCTCTCTCTATCTCTCTCTCTCTATCTATCTAATCTAATCTAATCTAATCTAATCTAATCTAATCTAATCTATCTAATCTATCTGTCTATCTGTCTATCTATCTATCTATCTGCCTATCTATCTAATCTCATCTAATATAATCTAATTTATCTAATCTATCTAAACTATCTAATCTATCTAATCTATCTAATCTAATCTATCTAATCTATCTAACCTTTCTAATGTATCTAATCTATCCTATCTTACTAATCTATTCAATCTATCTAATATATCTGATCTATCTAATCTATCTTACTAATCTATCCAATCTATCTAACCTATCTAATCTATCAATTGATCAATCAATCAAAAAATCAATCAATCTATCTATCTATCCATCTATCTATCTACATCTATTGTCCTATCTATCCAATCTATCTAACCTATCTAATCTATCAATTGATCAATCAATCAAAAAATCAATCAATCTATCTATCTATCCATCTATCTATCCATCTATCTATCTACACACATTGTCCTAGCATATTTGGTTGAATCTTTACGCTGTTCACCGGAGTCTGACTCACACCCATTTTGGTCTGCTAAAATGAGGTAAGAACATCGTCGATGAAGTGAATCAGTTTCCCAAATTTGGATGAACAATCAAAAAGTGTAGTCAACAACGGAGAGTATGAACCCACCCAAAAACATCAAAAAAAACATTTGAAAAAATCAATGTGGAACATCAGAAACATCATCATGTGTGATGTTTTGTTCTTTCATAAACGCCATTAAAAACACACTGGATGAACAAACTTGGAGTCCATGGAAACTTAAGCCCCGTTTCGCTGACTCTTTAGTAACTTTAGTACTCAAAAAATGGGCCATATCCATCGGTACGTCATGATATATATATATATATATACGTATATATATATATATATATACATATATATATATATATATATATACGCTACTTGTATATGTGTATGTGCATGTTTGTTTGCATCCCTTTCTTATCCCATTCATGCATTCAACACATTCAACACAGCTCCATCACTCATGGGATATGTTTGTCCAAGTTTGTCTACAGGTTTTCATACGTTCCGTTTTTCTCAATTGGGGGTACCCCAACAAAGCTTGTTGATTCAGTATATGCTAATGGACAATAGCAATTTGTCATACTATGATATGCATGGTTGTATGATAGTTGTATGTGTATATAATATGTATATATATATATACAATGTCTCATTATCGGCTGTAGACGTATCATACGTACTATAAATTAGGATTATCACAGTATTCGTTGTATGTGGTTGTTCATCATAAATTCTCAGTATGTATAATTTACAACATACATATATGTCATACATACGCCTATATAATATCATGATATCATACGGATAACATATATAACTAACTATATATGATCTGATATCAATAGTAATAATAAAACAGACAGGTTCACAAAAATACCAATAATAACTTAAGAGTGACAATCACTAAAAAAAAAAAGTATAACTATACAGTATAGTATACTATATTCCAATAAACAAGACTGGTTGGTGGTTTCAACCCCTCTGAAATATATGAAAGTCAGTTGGGATAATTATTCCCAATACATGGAAAAATAAAAATGTTCCAAACCACCAACCAGATATATAACAAAAACGTAAATAGCCATTGATCAACACGTCCTCCGCAAGGATCGCCCAATTCCTGCACCACCCAGCCGTTATCGTGGCAGCTCAGTGAAGCAACCACCACCTCGGCCCAAACGCGAAATCCCAGCGGAGTTTGACCATGGGTTTTTACAATTCTACTCTAGGGTTTTACATTTATACATTGCCAATCTTAGATGCCCTGCAAATAATTAAATTCTTTGCTGGTTAGTAGATATTCCCATTGATACCAAAAGACTAAAGGATTAAAGTATCCATCTAAGATTGACCTAGTATATCAATGGTAATTTCAGGATCCTAAAATGGAGGTACGTTAGTACCATATAAGGCTATATGAATTGTGGGGATAATGACCATTGATATATGGGACTTGGATGGACTTGAACCAGTTTTTCTAGTTTTTGTTTGATTTTTTGTTTTTTTTTTTGTGGGAAACATTGGAGGGATACAACATGGGATATGAGATATACTGATAGCTATCAGCATTTCATAGTATACTTGGTCGCAACATTCTCCTTAGAAAAAATGGAGGGGCATCGACAGAAATCAACCAACCAGTCGGCAAAAATTCGCATCGATGCTGAGCAAAACCTACCATTGTAGGGGATAGAATGGAATCATGAGATATGATAAAATATAATGAGATATAATGGGATATGGTATCATCAATTATCATCACCAATGATGTTGTAGTTGTTTTAAAGGATCCATCAACTAGCCGACCATAATGGGGATACCGACCATAAAGGGACTGGAGAGGATATAACTGATATAACCGAAGATCAACTGCATCAGTCAATGGGTTAGTCTTGTAGCCGGATGTAGAGACCCATAGCTTTACCATTCAAGATTGGGGTCGACCCAATTCTGCGATTCAGGGTTGACCTTCGAAAAAATGCCAGGAAACCCATGGTTGTGGTTTTTCAGAGATTCAGGATCACTGGTTGGTGGTTTGTTTCAACCTACCCCTCCGGCAATGGGAAAATGCCCTGTAAATGGGGTTTGAATGGGAAAATCATGACTGGTTGGTGGGAAAAACCTACCCCGAAAAATGATGGAGTGAAAGTCAGTTGGGAATATTATATATTTTCCCAATATATGGAAAGTCATAAAATTCCATGGTTCCAAACCACCAACCAGCTCATGACATTTTGTGCCTAAAAAACCCGCAGTGGCATACGACCATCCCATATCAGACACTTTGACATCATGAACATCCCCAATGAATTTGAAACGGGAACTCTAAGAAGGGTTGTGATAAAATATGATATAACTATAAAACTTATAAACAGAATGTCTCAAAAAAGAACCATCTTCATCCATTTATGATCCATGTATCATCCAATTGTTCATACATTCCTTCCCAGATGTTCCCCCCCCAAAAAAACAAAAACGTCCCAAGCCGTCGTCGACCAAGGGACGCTGCACGCCTTTCTGTCAAGGCTACACTCAAGGCTCGTGAGCTCTTGATCCCGGGCAAGATCCACCAAGGACAAGGTGGCGGACGCAAAGTGGGAAAGATCCTGGCACTGAGCAGGAACCAAATTCGAAAATTGACCGAAAACCACTGATGGTCACCAACAACCATAGGGATTTTCACAGGGATTCACCAATAAATCATGGCTATTCATAGGATATGAACGATATAATTTTCACTGGTATAACCATGGTGAACTCAACCCCATAAGTTGGGATAAAGTGTAAACGCGCCATGGTTTTTGGTCTACTTAAAATAGCAGTTTTCCTTACCCCGAAACGGTGAAAAATGATGGGAACGCGCAGAAAGTCTCGGACATTGATATCGGAAAAACATGGAGGAAAAACATGGAGGATTTTTCACATGATTTAATCCAACAGTTTTCATGGCAAGGATCTTCATGATCTTCATGATCTTCATGGCTAATTTAGAATGGACAGATTATTCGATTAGTTCGTGAATTCTTGGAGTAGCCGCGTTTTAAACCAAATCCATTGGGCTGGATGTTGACTTTACGAGACAGTGGTTCTTGTGGATTTGGTTGCGTGGCAAGTTTTTCTGTGAATGATGTGAGATATCTTCATCGGGATCTGCAATGAAATGCAACAAAGTCATCCCCAAAAAGGTACAATGTGAGGCCCCCCAGTGATGTTAGTTGGTTAACAAAAGCCCCAGTAACTAGTTTGTTATAAGTACCATACAAGGTGGCGACGCCGAAACGAGATGGGAGCTCCACAAGAAGCGGCCAGAGGTGTGCACCAAAACCATCAAATTTCCCCACAATGTACCAAAAATAAGGGCTCTAAAATAGCGTCAAATACTCATCATTTATCTCGGTAATAAAAGTAATTCACTAATTTGAAATAGTGTTCTTTTGGGATCATTCCCCCTACTACTAACCATCATCATTCAGTGAGAACAGTGAGGTCGTCATATGACCTAAATTATCCATTATATACATCTCATACTATACTCATTAGACCACTATATTTTCCCATTAATCATTCATCTTCATTAATTTTCATTAATCTTCATTAATCTTCGTTTATATTCATTAATCTTCGTTTATATTGGAGGCTCATGGCCAGTGCCAAATGGGTCAGTCCTAGAATGGTGGGAATTATAAACTATAATAGATTATAATTCGCGTTTGATGGCCATTGAAAAACATGGAGAACTGATGATTATCCATAATATACCCATTATACCCATTATACCACTATATTGTCCCATGAATCCTCATTAATCACCATCATATTACCTTATATAAATGAGCATAAATAAGCTAAATTTGAGTAAGCATAAATAAGCTATATTTGAGACTCAATGTATGTTGAAATCGGAACCAACTGGTGCATTTCCTGGATCTCGGACCTCATCCTCCTCTGCAGACATCACAAAGTAGACGTCCGTGACCTTCCGAGGCAAAGGCCCTACATGACTGGCTCAGTCATTGGATGTCTGATGGCAAGCATTTGACTGGTTTGATGTTCAAAAAATCTGGCTCATATATCGATATACATATACAATATATATAGTTAGATAATTGGATATACCAAGAAATATATATGTATATATGCAGCATATCCACTTAATGACTCAATGAACTAAAACTGTACGCGACTCCGCGATTCCGCGACTCGTTGGATGTACAGATCGAGGTTTCATCTCCCGGGAGATCATCCTCAAGAGTATCCACTAGGATGATATGATCAAAAAATTATGGATGATATACATAATCATCTAGTGGATACTTATGTACATATAGATCTATCTAGATAGGATTATATGATTGTACTTTAAGTATCATTCATATTTAGAATCATCCTATCTAGCGGATATTTACATCTATATTTACACACCCATATGATATTTATGATAATTTTCGTTATTTATATCTAGTCAATATCAATCCTCATAAGACCCATATAATCCATAATTTATTTTATTGATATCATCTGGTATCCACAATCCACAGGGGTTAGTCTGAACAAAAATACCCAACACATCTAATGTCCGATCATCAGTTTTCCTATTGAAATGCAACTTTGGTGGTACACCCATTGATACCATCATTTTCAGACACAACCATGAATCATATGTTTGATGAACTGTATTTTAACGAGTATACATATAATATATATATATATCATCATGTATACATATATGAATGTATATATATATATATATCCATAGAGCATCCCAAAACATATCATAAATATATCAGTTTATACTATATCAGCATCTTGTGTGATTTTATAGCTTTTACACACCCACATATTTTTGGCCCTGGCCTTCGGCACAGCTTCAAGGTTTCTGTGTTGAAAATGTTGAAAATCCATAGACATGTATTGAAATGTAACATAATTTAGTAAGATACAGGGTGGTGCCCCAGTTCGTTAGCTAAGTTGGTGCAAATAAGTCAAATTTCACTATGGTTTATAGGTGATATATCGAAGTAGATTCATGGGCTTTATAAACCAACATTCACATAACTGGGGGGGCACCACCCACCGTATGTATGTTAAGTGTTGGCTTCAATACACGCGAAAAAGTATAGCTCGGACATATTTGCCATTGTCATCCCATGAAGGGAATATATACACTATACTATATCTATATATATATATACACTATACTATATATATATACTATATACTATATATACTATATACTATATATACTATATATACTATATAATATATACTATATATACTATATACTATATATACTATATAATATATACTATATATAGAATATATAATGAGATATCATGCGGTCCCATGATTCCACCAGGCCTCCCGTGGCAGCGCCGAGACATCAATGGAGATGGGCCGCCGGAAGCGTTCCGCCGAAGTGGAACTTGAGGTCAGCGCCATGCGAACCGCCTTGGCCATTTCCTCGTGGTGGAAGTTGTCCTCGCTTCGGCTTGGAGTTTTGGAGGGAATCCATGGGGAATCTGCAATCCGGTGAGAATGGCAGTTGAAAATGTCTGGTTTCGATTGTTGGTTTCGAAATTTTGCCTGGTTTTAGCCAATCCAGTGAGAAAATTTGGAGGACATTTGAAAGAAAAGGTGCTTGAAAGATATGATTTGGGCATAAATTAGGGATATAACTGTGGATTTCTCGCAGAATTCTGGATTAAAAGGGGGTTGAGGAATTAAACATCCAGGTGGGGTAATAGCTATTCATAAAATGAAGGACACAACTTGGGATTTTGCTATCACTCTGTTGGGTTTCCCTGCCTAAACCATCAACCAATTCTGTGAGTTCTGGGGTGGCAGGCTGCCTGGGACATCAGTAAGTAATCATGTCAGCGTACCCAGCTTGCAACATGGGGTGAAACATAACAAAAAAGCAAGAGGGATATGGATGTTGGAATATCAAATGCAATAATCCATAATTGGCTGCAGCAGCGTGTCATTTCTTGTCATATTCTTTAATATTCACATCTTTGGAGTGACTACCTGAAAACTGTCCAGCCGCCTGTTTCGAAAACGTGGTTGCCCAAAGGTATCACGTCAAAAAAGCCCGCACGCATCGACCGATTGGCTTCTCAACAGTCAACAAATCACTGGCTAGGTCCCGCAGTGGGCCCCGTTGTTTGCTGCAACTTTCATTGATTTTCATTTCCATATTTGGCGGTTCATTCTCGATTTGTTTGCTGATAGGTCCCGATTTTTCTGTGGTAGAAACTTAGTAATCCCCTCCCCTATATTAAACACCGCCCAGAAACCATGTTTTAGTTTTAGTAGGGGATAAACATATGGGACCATAGAATGGGGGTGTTCAATATGAACAGGGGATGGGATTGGTTACTCTTCCACCCAAATGTAAGTTGGTTGAAAAGAGTTTCCCAATCCTATTGAAGATCATATCCCCAATAAATGTGGCAGTATAAATCATTTAAATCCCTATACTATTAACCAATCAACCAGGTTGTTTTGATGGCCCATGTGGGTAAAACAATGTCATAAACCATCCCCCAGTCATCACCATTTTATAGGTGGACTTTTAGTAGGTAAATCAACTGTAAACGGGCTATTTTCAATAGCCAACTGTTAGTTTACCAGAGGGTATATCCCAATTGTTATCCCAATAATGATCCCATTCATATTGATCCCATTAATCTTCATTTACCAAAGGCTAATGTCAATGTTGGTTTACCGGAGGCTAATGTCAATATTCACAACGTCCCGTTACCGCAGGAACGCCCTGGCCATCGGAACTTCCCTCACCTTCATCTCTACGGGACTCGAGACGTTCCCCTGGCGTCCGCGCTGGGTTTGTGGCAACTGGAAAAGCAACGGTTGTTTTAATGTGGTTAATCCATTTTAAATATCATACATATATATATATACATAATTATATATGTCTATGTATATATGTATATATATATATATGTCTATGTATACATATATATAAATATATTTAAAATCTTATAATATTCTATATACATAGTTGCATAGTAATCCCAAAGGATACAATCAGGCTAGTCGCAGCTAGTCGCAGCGAGTCGAACTAGCTGCGGCCTGGAAGGGCGAACTGAACTTGCAGGCATAGACCAAATGCTCCTCTGCATAGATGATGCAGCTACAATCCACATCTGGAGTCCTTGGCGGCGAGGGCTAGGCGCATTTCATGAAGTCCCGAAGTTGAAGTTCCACAGACCCTGAAGCAGTAGTGCTTTACGGGAAAGTTTAGGACTAAATCATAGTAAACAAATATCTTGGAAATCAAAAGCCACTCTTTAAACTCTAAATTTTCCCAAGAAGCCATATGTAGGAAACCAAGCTCCATGTTCCACCCTAGGTTGGGTTGAAAAAAACCCGACTGGCACCTGAGTGGCCTCCAAAGGATATTGATCATGTCGTATCTCGATGTCCACTTGAATAGACGCCAAAAAGAATCATTATTTATATAATCAAAGTGTACTAATAGGATTATATATATTCGAAGGAAGTTTAGAAGTGAAACTTCCGACAATATGGACAGTTGAAAAGCAGAGGTGAGAAGAGTCAGAAGAGAAAAGATCAGAAGAAAGAAGATGCAGATGTGCGAAAAGGTAAGAAGGTCGCGAAACACTGTGTTTTTCCAATGATTTGGGGCTCCGGAGGGTCGAAAAGTAGGCTCGCTAAAGCGGCGGGTGCGGAGCCAGCTGGCCAGATGAGAGATGAAAAATTGCACGCCGTTGTGGCGCGAAGCACATTTCCAAGTCAAAATGTACAAAACACACCAGCTCCGGACCACTTTTGGAAGTTGAGATGTCGAAAAAGTGCACGCCGTTGTGGCGCGAAGCACATTTGAAGTCAAAATGTACAAAACACACCAAGCTCGGACCACTTTTGGAAGTTGCGATGTCGAAAAAGTGCACGCCGTTGTGGCGCGAAGCACATTTGAAGTCAAAATGTACAAAACACACCAATTCGGACCACTTTTGGAAGTTGCGATGTCGAAAAAGTGCACGCCGTTGTGGCGCGAAGCACATTTCGAAGTCAAAATGTACAAAACACCACATGTTCGGCCACTTTTGGAGGTTCGGATGTTGAAAAAGTGCACGCCGTTGTGGCGCGAAGCACATTTCGAAGTCAAAAGTGTAAAAAACTGTGGGTTTTGAGCCTTTTTTGACGTTAAAATGTCGAAAAAGTAGACACTGATTAACTTAACTAACTTGACTAACTTAACTAACTTAACTAACTTCACTAACTTAACTACCCTAACTTCGACGACCACAGCAACAGCAACAACAACAGCAACAACAACAACAACAACAACACCAACCACAACAACTACAACTACAACAGCTACAACTACAACTACACAACAACTACAACTACAACTAGGACTACAACTACAACAACTACAGCTACAACTACAACAACTACAACAACAACAACAGCAGCAACAACAACAACTACAACTACAACTACACAACAACTACAACTAGAACTACAACTACAACAACTACAGCTACAACAACAACAACAGCAACAACAACAACAACAATTACAACTACAACTACAACTACTACTACAACTACAACAACAGCAACAACAACAACAACTACAACAACTACAACAACAACTACTACTACTACTACTACTACAACTACACTACACAACAACTGCAACTAATTACACAACAACTACAGCTACAGCTACGACAACTACAACTACAACTACAACAACTACAACTACAAAACAACTACAGCTACAACAATATGACTGCAACTACACTACACTAATTACATTACACCACAACTACAACTCCACTACGCTACAACTACAACTACAGTTGCAGTACATCATACTACATCCAGTAGTTGTGGGTGAGGTGACCACTGCAACCATTGCAACCACTCCAGCAAACACAGCTCCAACCACCTTTCGGTCAATCAGTGGATTCGCTCTGCAATCCGTGATTCACAACAACCAACGTCTCCTATAGGTTTCCTATTCTGAAACTTCCGCCACCGCCTTGTGCGGTACTACTGGTAATTTTCATAATTATATAATAGACCCTATTTATTACATAATAGTTATATAATCACCACTTGCCAAATAGGATTGTTCTACACGTACCTTCAGGATGCCCTTTGTGCAGAAACGCTTGGCGTTTTGTTCGTTTCCGACCTTCTACGTGTGAAAAAAACAACTTTCAGAGAACGCTGGTTCAATCCCAATGTCATCAGGTTTAATTACTCTGCTGGCGAAGCTCTTTTTTTCCTGCTGGTCAACTCCTGGTAAAAACTCCCAATTTGGGATGATCAAATCCCATCAAATCATGTTAAATCATGTGAAATCTCAATATGTTTCCTTGAATCTGCTGATGGGATAGTGATTTCGTCAAATACCTGGTGATTAATATCCACTATAGCCAAATTCCACTAGTATCATTATCCATTGTAGTTGAATCCCCATCTCTGCTGCTTACTAGTGCTTACTTCCAAAATTCAGCTGGCGACCGCCAGTTCAGCTGATATGGTTTCATCTCAAAATGGGCTACCGGCAAATTTCATGCCCTCATCAATTTCCCAATGAAATTAAGGTATATAATCGGTATATATATATATATACCACTTTTTCGGACAAACACACACACATCATATTTTTGTTTTTTATATATATATATATCCCACCAATATTCGTTGATCAATAATACACTTTCTACTAGTCCCATCCTGATTACAGCCGGTCTGTTGGTTATAAAGTTGTATATGTATATGGTGGTTTTCTGAAATAGGGGTACCCCCAAATCATCAAGTTTAATTGGATTTCCATATTATATATATATTATACAGTATATATATATATATTATGATACACCCATTTTGGGAAACCTCCATGTGTTGGCCATCCAACATGCGCCCCTCGTGTTGGCATCACGTGCCGAAAGTCGTTTCGGGCTTACCGTTCTTGGCGGACCAGGTCCTGAGCGGCGGGCGGTTCGTGGTTTGATCAAAGTGGGGATTTCTGTGAAAGAATCTGATGAACATACTATAGTAATAATAACCATATCTTAGTTTGTTTAGTACTAACCATATACTATGGTTATTGTAGTTTATATAAAATACCTAGTTATGGATAATCATAGGTATTACTTACAAAAGAGTGCACTACAATAACTATATCCTGATTACCATAGTTATGAAAACCAGATCTGGTTATTGAATAACTAGGGTAAGAACTATGGTAACATGCCCCATAAGTTGGGATCCCAGTTACAAGTGGGCTAACCCTATCCTCCGAACATCACCAGGGTTATAACCCATACTTAGTGGGTAGTTCGCCACCAAGTAGGGTGGCTAAACATGTTTTAACATGACCATTTTCCTTCAGGACAAATTCTGCGATATGCAGTACATGTATCTGGTTGGTGGGAAAAACCTACCCCTCTGAAAAATAAATTTCATGTTCCAAACCACCAACCATCAATGGAAATCATAGTTAGATTGCGGGGAATCATCCCAATCATCCCAAAATGGCCGCAAGATTCATTTAATTCAGGTTGGTGAAATATTATATAATTTACCCAGATATAAATTATATGATTATATATATATATATAACCCAATTTTCTGGGTGGTTTCATCCCCAATTTTCTGGGTGATATATCATATAGACTCGCCCTACCGTCTAAAACCCTTGAGATTCGCCCAGATCCCCGTGGATGAATGGAAAGTCTACGTTGCAAAGCCACATTAAAACATGATAAACAAACATGTAAAACCCAGGTGAAACCGCGAAAGTTTCATTTCATACATTTCATAATCAATCCACCTAGTGATCAAACTATGTTAGAGGCTTATAAACTACATCAACAAAGCCACTTTGATATGGTTTCCCTGGTTTCCTCTAACATAGCCATTTCATAATCATAATCATATATGTATAAACTACATAAATGATTTTTACGGGCGATGTTAGAGGCCAACGGCCCGACGCCAAGTTGGACAGTTCCACTTATAAGTGGATATAAAACCAACCAGTTGATGGGTTTAAATCCCAACTTATAGGCTTTAGCCATGTTTTGTATGGTTCAGTGCTCTAGTTATACCGTTATAGCCACTACCCTCCACTACCCTCCTTTGAAAAAACAGTTGTGCCGAACATCCACCATTGATTTCCCAGCTATGTTGGATTGCCCAGGCGGCGTAACCCCGGTGATCGTAAGTCTCCTAAACAATACATACCCTCTGGTTATGTCAAAATAGCTATTGAAAATAGCCCATTTATAGTTGATTTACCCATTAAAAATGGTGATGTTCCATAGTTATGTTAGTTTACCAGAGGGTAGCTTTTCCATGCTTTTCCCATCTAATGTGGTAGACCCAAGTTCAGAAACCACCTCCAAGTCACCATTTCCAAGGCACATCCGACGAATACTAAAATTATGCATATGAGGTTACTCTACAATCCCAAATGGCTGCGAACACAACAACACATTTCAACTTCACCATCCAATCACGTTATCGCTTTAAGTAGTTCACCATATCACTTTCCATGGTTTGGGCAACATTGAACACCATATGACCTCTCATGTACAGGTTTCTGCATGAACCTTTTAGGTCTTTGCTCATATGTATATAATATTATATATATAATATTATTATTATATTATATATTATAAATCTATACTCATAGAATCATAAACCCATCCATTGATGGGATAACTTTTAAAAGCATCACTAACTTCCAACTTCTCCGAGTCGCAGCGCCACTTCCAACTCCGCCAACTTCCGCGACGCCGCCGGGGTCGTCACCCTGACCTTGGTGTCGATGCCGCGCATGATCGCCATGGTGTCCTTGGTTCACGAGGATGGAATTTTTGGGGATCCCACAGGGCGAAGGTGGAGAAAATACCGAAAGAATAGGGAAATCATATATGATATATATATATATATACAGTATACATATGTATATATATATATATACAGTATACATATGTGTATATATATATATATTTGAATAGATATATATATACATAGATATACATATATCTATTATATATATGAAATATGGTGAGAACATCAATCAACTATATATATATATATAAATGCACATCTGACTTGAACATGAACATTTTGCAGTTTAACGACGTTTTGAACTTGGGTAGATGGATCCGTCCTATTGCCACAGAAGATTTTTACTTCTCCAGCGTTCTTTCAGGCGGACCACAAACTTGAGCAGTGTGAAATAAATCCCTCTATCATTCCATGAAATACTGGTTGGTTTATAGGGATTTCCTTATTTGATTATGAAAATAATCCTCTATATATGAAGGGAAGTATAATCCCCGAACTAATCATCAACCTTGCCATTTTACCAAAATGAACACCCAGAGATTGATTTCACGAAATTCAAAGCATGTTTTGCCCAGGTCGAGGTCCAAGAGCCTTTGGCTATGCTTGTTACTCATCCAACAGTAGCCTATGGATCCAGAGACTCATAGTCGATGAGATTGACAACAGTCATAACAACATCTAGATTGCCTATATATATATATATATAAATGACTATATATGCCTAGATTGCATCATCTGTATATATATAAATCCATGTTTAACATATCTGGATTTAGATGGCAATTCTTCATAACCAATCTCCACCAATACCGTAGGACCAACCGGCCAAGGCACTGCAATCTTGGTGGTTGTCTCCGGAAGGGCGAGCAAATCCAAAATCTCCCTGCCTTTGCCTGTGGGCAACGTTTAAATTTTAATTTAGCTCCCTGTTGTTCTCCTTAAATACAACAAAAGTCTACATTAGATACGGCTGTTCAAATATTGGACAGTCCCCAAAAATGCTTGAGGATTTTCTACTATCACCGCAGCCAGAAAAGTTGAACAGGGCTCGGAATTCGGAGTCTATGAACAAACTCTGACATGCCGCCTGCTTTCATGATGTCCACACTGAAGTCCAAGTCCAAGTATTCCTGGGATGCAGGGCTAGCAGAATTCCATTGGCAAAAACGACATCCCAAAATGTTATTGTGTTTACTATTTACTATGTTTTTGTGAACATATCGTGTTTACTATGTGTTTACTTCAATACAATCTACTATTAGAATACAATCTACTATGACTGTATCATCTTCAAAAAGGTCATGTTTATATGTTTCATGTCATTGAAGAATAAGCAAGCAGAACATAGACAACACCATTCTGTTATACCCTCTGGCTATTTAACATAGCCATGGAAAATCACCATTTTTAATAGGTAAACCATCTATAAATGGACCATTTTCCATGGCTATGTTAAATAACCAGAGGGTAATGAGATACACGTTGTAAAAAAAAAAAACGGCCTGGAACATCAACTGGATGCATCGGCAAGGCACTGGGCAAAACAACCGAGAAAAACTCCGAGAACATATGGGGGGTTCAATGCAGGTACCCCAAAAACGCTGGATGGTTTATGATATATAGTGGATGATACATTTAAAATGGATGGTTTATCCCCATTTATGATGGAAAATACTATTAAAATGGATGATAATGGATGATAAATGGGGATACCCCCATTTATGGAAACACCCAAATGACAAAGCCTGGGAAAAGTCTGCCCTGACGCAGGTTTTTTTTTTACGAATCCACTGGAACCGGATCGATTTGGTGCCAGGGTTGGCCACTCCAAGGGGACCGTTGATGATGCAACGATCCCTTAAGGAATCCAAGGCGCTGAATGGTCCTGCACCTGTGAGATTTCCACATCTTCCAGGATTTTCTTCACGACACTTTCCTTAGATGAGACCCCTTGGCTGATGAGACCCCCATTCCCAGACTCCCATACTACTCGCACAAGAAACCCCAGGATGGGAAGAGTATGGGTGGTCCCCATAAATTCTATGGACATGCATGTTGAAATGTCTTCATCTTTCATCAGGTGGCTGGAAAAACAGCTTTAGGCCGTCGCTGCAACATCTAGTATCAGCTCAACAGTTCAGTTGGCTTGTGGGTCAACAATCCATTGGCTACTGCAACATATGAATATGTTTCAAACATAGAATTATAGTTCTGTGCCATTTTTATCTTTTTTAAATGTCAGTTGCGCCCAATGTTGCCGCGCATCCAAGTGTTTTCTCATCCACTTTGCTTCCTTCTTGTCTGCAACTAATGTCGCGATATAGCCCCGATCTTCCTTGCCGATGGTGACCACCCGCAACCTGCCACTCTTCCCCTTGATGCGCTCTTCAACTTCTTCTCCTGGAGCTCAAACGTTGGTCAAAACCTGGTCAAAACCATGGAAAATCCAGGTGAGCCTGAAAAATCAAGGAACTACCCTCTGGTAATTTAACATAGCTATTGAAAATGGCCATAGAAATAGTGGATTTACCCAGCTAGAAAATGGTGGATTTTCCATAGTTTTGTGTATGTTTACCAGAGGGTAAATTATAGATTTTCCAGCAAACCATCTTTGATTTTACGGATGTGGGATCAAAGCGGGTTCATCTTGGGAGATCTGAATTTTTACCACTGCACAGGTGGAGATGTGAAGATACGTCGCGAGAAGTCCGGTCCGTGCGCGGCCACAAAGAAAGATATGTTATGTTTGGAAAGATAAACTCCACTGATCTTAATATATTGTTTCTATAGAACCTAGTCAACCTAGTCAACCTAGTGCACTGAAATAGTCAACGGAAAATCTGATCTATTGTAGATGTCATACCGTATATATAATGTAACATCAGATGATATTTCTATGGTGTGGTCCCGGCCGTGGCTACGACCTATAGAGAAATTACATTTAGAATCACACTTGTTATAAACCAACTCTACATAGTATCATATCCATGGAATCTTGGTTGTTGATCTCTATAGTATGATGTAAACCAAAAACATACTTAGAATCTAGGTAGATAGACAGACAAATAGATTTATACATAGACATATTTACAGACAGATAGACAGACAGACAGACAGACAGACAGATAGATAGATAGATAGCTCGCTAGATAGCTAGCTAGCTTGATAGCTAGAGAGGAATGCTAGAATGCTAGAATGCTAGAGCCAAAGGGCTAGATAGCTAGAGAGCTAGATAGCTAGAGAGCTAGATAGACAGGCAGACAAATTTATGCATATATATATAATTATATAATTATATAATTATATATACATTAATATGTCATTAATGATAATATGTATAGACAGATTCATAGATAGACAGATCCCTAACATCTTCACCCGCATCTTCCGCCGCCAAGCTTCGGAATGCCACACTGGTGACGCGCTGACCTAGGGCTTCCACCACCTGAAAAATTGAAGCACTGGGATTTCACCAGGGATTTCACCACCGGGTCTGGGGTGAACATGACCTTTACTAAGAATGGAACATGGCAAGTGAAATCTGATTAATGATGGTTAATAATGGTTAATAATGGTGAATCTATGGTTTATCTATGGTTTATCTATGGTTAATCTATGGTTTATCTGTGGTTAATCTATCTGGTTGGTGGTATACCTACCCCTATGAAAAATATGAGTTCGTCAATTGGGATCATGAAATTCCCAATATATGGAAAAATCAAATTCACGTTCCAAAGCACCAACTAATTTAACTATCTACTCATCTTACTGCGGGTTCACAATGAGAAGTTGATTGTGGTTACAGGCAGTGGCTGGTTGCATCATTCTTGTGCTGAGGTCGTCTTCAGGCTGTTTTACTTTGCCATTCGATGATGCCTCAAGTCATCTGACACCCTGCTGTCATTCGCACCTGCATCGAAGCATTTTTGAAGGCCTTTCGATGCTTCGCCTAGCGACGAAAGGCAAGTTCACGTTGCTGGATATATCACGACTGGACCTACCCTCTGGTAAACTAACATAACTATGGAAAATCACCATTTTCAATGGGTAAATCCACTATAAATGGCCATTTTCAATAGCTATGTTAAATTACCAGAGGGTAATATCCGTGCTATAAAAGGTTTATAGGTGGGAAAATCATCTAGTGGGGTGATTTTCCAGCAGGTGAGGAAAAAGATGGTTCCCCAGTGGGGTGTGTTTCCGTAAGAGCACTCGCCACAATGACTTTATACGTAATTTTAATACATATAGTTACTTCTTTATAGTACTAAACATCATAAACACACACACACACACCTCAATATATATTAATAATATATATATATATAACAATTCACCAAACATTCTTAGACATGCTCAAACATCCTTAAGCATTCCTTATACGCACACATTCCGTAGACACAATTCAATAATAATCGTTAGTCTAAACATCATATCACTAGTATGTAGACATCACCAAGCATTATCAAACATCATTAACATATTAACCACCACACATCACACTCAGCATCATTACATCTCTTTAGAAAAAAAAACACAAGACCACTGGGATTCTCATAGGATCTACCTGATATACCCATAAAAATCACCACTCTTTTTTTTTATGGGGAAGCCAGTCGGAAGCCATGTCTGAAACAAACATCCATGGGAGCCATGGGGAGCCATGGTGATTCGGAGCCTTGGTCAAGAGCCAACTCTCAGGATCCTCCAGGTGCCCTTGCAACTCATCGGCCTACGGAAGGAAGTTCCAAGGACTTCGAATGGGGGATTTGTTTTCTGGAATTTGATAGGATTTCGTGGGATTTGAATGGGACCTGCAGGGGATGATCATGCGAGTTTATTGGATGTTAATTAGAGTTTATTGGATATTAATGGATGCTAACGGGCGGGATTTTAATGGGATTTTGTTGGATTTTAATGGAATGATAAATGGCATGCTGTTTTATTGGACTGTTTCAGAAAGCAAGCAATGTTGAGGATTCATGTTGTCGTTGGTTTAAGGAAAAGATTACAGGAAACCATGGTTTTCCTCGCAAGGATAATAATCTTCAACCAGTGCTGGGACAACTAGAAACAAGTGGGAGACCTATGCCAGACGTATATGGAAATAAATAAATATGTATTGAAGCAAATATAAAGTAATCATCATCATCATCATCATCATCATCATTTTTCACATCCTGGAGTTGCTATGCTTGAAATTAGCTGAAAGCACGTAGTAAAACATGTAATTACAGTTTCTCCAGTACCCTTTTAATTCAACATAGCTATGGAAGCCATGGCTCATTTCGTTTGATGATTTACCGATTAAAAACCTAGGGTTGGCCATGATGTTAGTCATGTTACCAGAGGCTTTGAAGATATCAACAGATTACCGGTAGGCCCGTAGCTATCGAACATGGCCCGTAGCTATTTTGTTCAGTTTCCGACAGCCGTGATTTCCCATAATGCCATATAGTTACCTCTGAGAATTTAAGAGTTCGCGAACTGGAAAGATCCACCATGCTATTCGTGGGAAAATTCACGACATTTCGACTGGGCCATGGCTTCAATGTCGCAAACTGTTGACATAACCAGAGGTTATATCCCATTAAATCCCATTAAACCACCATTTTCCTATGGTTTTCCTATGGTTTTGACATAACCAGAGGGGATGTTAGTTGACTACTGAAATCACTAGTGATCATCCCGAAGTCCCAAACCTGAAATTTCCACTGGAAAATCCACCATGAAATTCAATAAATGGTCCCAGAGATAGATGCCCTCTATGATGGAAATATGATGAAATACGTGTATATAATTGTATATATAATTATGCAATTGCGATTGCAACCAGCTCTTTTCCAAACTGCATGTGGGTCCGCTGGCATTTAGATCAAAACCACCTGCAACGCCCAATGCCAGCCATGGTGGTGTGGCGGGAAGTGGATGAGGATTCATCATCTGATGTTTCGATGGAGGAGTGTTTTGTTTTGTTTTTAGTGCACTCCAACAATGTACAGAAATAGTTTAGAAATACTTGTTGGCATTTCCCCCTGACAGGAGCTAACAGATGCTCAACATGATTACATCCACTGCGAGAAGCACTTTGTGGAGAATAGTGGCTACTTGACACCAAGCATCCTAGCTTTCCATCTTCCATTATTTTGCTTCATTTTTCTCTTTTCCATCCAGGCTTGACCGGATGGTTGCGGCGTTGGAATGCGGCATTTGGGTATGCAAGTGATTGCATCTGACCAGCATTTATTGAACTTGGCATGAACACACAGAGACATTGTGAACCAAACATTTGTGGTGGTTGGTATCTTAGGCAGCGGAATGGACATGCCCCTGATCGCTTTGAAGAAGCTGTTCGGAGGAAAAGCCCATTTGGTTAAGTACTTGCCTCTTGTCTCCAAAACACTAAACAACTCTGAGATTTTTTTTTGCTCTGATATTATTCTACTTTATTTGGGTTGGAGAAACATGTTGAACCTGAGGAGCAACTCGGAAAAGGACAAGGTTGCCAAACAGTTTCTTTCTGAGAATCATGAGGTCCCAAAGCAGCAACTTGGCTGCAACAATATATAGTTGCATGTATGCATGCCAAACTGTTCAAGGTGAAACAACAGCAAAGCACCTGCCGCATCGCTCGCTCGCATAGGTCCAGCAATGACATATTTGATGTGAATTCCATGGAGTTGTCCAAAAAGGTGCGGTTGCAATGTTTTGTTGCCACCATATACTCACCATATCAACACTTGAAATCAAAGCCAATCTTTCAGCCAATCTTTTCCTTGGCAGGTAGCCCTCTACTGCGCTGGATTCCCATGCACCCCATATTCTCGACTCCATGCAAACAGTCAATTGCTTGGGGAAGAAGCAGCCAAGCCTATGTGGAAATGCATCCAAAACATCCGGGATGCACGTCCAGCTGTCTCTTGTCATCAATGTACAATGTCATTGCTGCAGCCTTTGTGTGAAACACGCCAGCTTGCCATCAATCTCAGGCTGGCTTGTTGGAGAACGTACGAGGGTTCGCACAAGTTCTTGATACTGTTCTGGAAGTGCTGGAGTACAACTTGCCCGAGCAACATGGATGCATGGATGGTTTGTCATGCATCAGCTCAGCCTCTGTGTTGATGGTAAAATAAATTGTTGATAGCTCTTCCTGCCCCAAGGTACCAGTTTCATTGCATGGATGTGGATCCGTTCCCTGGCTGCCATAAACGGCCCCAATGAAAAGCTGATAACTATTGCGCAATCTGATACTTGAGGTTTGACTTTGGAGCACCAATGCGGCGCGACCGAATCTACATTCTTTTAATCCGAACGGAGCTGATGGGGAAAATGGCTGGACAGGATTTTCCAGCTTTTGCGACTGAGTTAGCCAACAAGCTTCAACTAGAGAGTATGTTTGACTGGCACCTTGGCTTTTGAAATCCTGCCAGTTTGCTTTGCAAACCACATTGGACACCTTTCTGTCAGTGTCAACTTGATGCATGCATCATCGCTCAAGCCTTTCTTTCCAAACCAAGGGAAGACCTGCTATTGCCTGATGACCACTGGAGGAACGAAAAGAACAAACGTGACAGAATGAGCCTGAAGCGAAGAAGGAAGGACACTGAGAAAGTCAAACAGAACACCAAGAAAAAACAAAACAAATGGATCGCCCATCACAAAGCATGGGCAAAGAAGAACAAGGTCATAACCTTAGATTATGAATTAATACTGAATAGGTTTAGCTTCTTGTACTTAGCTATACCCAGTTCTCATTCTTAGAAACAGCAATTTGTCCAGGTGACAAAGTTCCATGGCTATTTCAAGAAGGAGTATCCTGAAGCTTCCAAGATGATCATTAATGAAAGGGAAATGCTTGCCCCTTGGCTACATACAACTAATTTCATATAGGATTTAAAATTGCTGGATTTAAAATTGCTGGATTTTTGATGCCAAGGCCCTCGATGTCACTGCCAAGTTCTACAAGCATGGCATCCGTGGAGTCAACACTTCGCAGAGTATTGGCAGGATGAGTGTGATGCAGAATGATCCCAATGTACCAATGATGTGCATTACGTCTCATCCTCATTTAACCATAACACAAATGTTTGGTGAAGAAACAATGTTGATGCCCAACAGAACCCAAGCTATCTATGTTCATCCTTGGAGTGGCCAAGGCCGCATGCAACAATCCTCTTGCCACAAAGAGGACGCTTTCTTTCAGGCTCGGGCTTTCATATCTTGCTCTCTCAGACTTCTTGTTGGTCCTGGACAGGAATCGAAGCAATGCTCTTGATGGGTGCACCAATTGACGCCCTGAAGCTTGATGGCTTCAAAGATCGGGATTCACAGCTGCAACAAAGTTTTTATCGATCACTTCAATTTTAAGATTCAGTTTTTTATCGATCCCAGGACTTGATGAAGTTAGCAGGAAATTCTATGCAAATGCGCTGCCTCTTGGTGACCATCACCATTCTGCTGAAAGCATTGCATCCCACATTGCTTAAAGCATACTTGGAGCAGTGAACAATTGAATGCATTATTGCTGAAAGCAAATTCGGAGTGAGGGATTTCCTTGCGTGTGAAAATAGAAAGTGCCAAGCTGAAGCAATCTAACCGACTCATCGATCTCATTTGCTTGCACAAAAGTGTAAGTGGCTCTCAGTTCCAACACATTTCAGCAAATAAATCAGTTTAGAATGTTTTGTCCAAAGGTTATCCAACATGAGTTTCAAAAGGGGTTCCAAGAACATTTTTTCTATATAACAAGGTTTCATGTCCCAATGCCTGTCCTCTTCCGGTGGGAAGCTGACCGCGATGACAAAGCCATTGCCCCTGCCAAGCGACGATGCGGGGTTTGGCGATATGATGACAGTTCAGAAGGTGAAGCCACTTCGTGTGCCAATTCAGGGTATCTTAGCAGCATTATATAACAAATAAAATATCTAATATAGAGTATATCAAAAATTTATTTATATATAATATATTATAATTGATAAATATTTAATATATTATATATTAAAACAAACATATATAGTATATATAATATAATATATATAATATAAAAAAATATATAGAATATATATAGTATATAGAATATATATAATATATAGAATATATATAATATATATTATATACCTAATATATGATATAATAAATCTAGATATTATATGATATTATAAATTTATTGATTATATAGTACCACCTCCCCCCAAAAAAAAGCAATACTTGATGCTTCCATGAAATCCTTTGGCTGCTTGGGTATTGTGAGTGAACAGAACTAAGGGAATCCGAATGCAGCTCTGATGAATCAGAAAGTTGTGAACGGAAATCTACTACAGCGGTAAATCTGCAACTTGGAAGCTTGGAGTCCTACCATCAACTGGATGAAAGTGGGGATACCTCTGTTTTTGCTAGCAATGGAGCTAATCGTGACCGTCTCAAAGAGTTGCTGAAGAATCCACAGTGCCCTTGTCAGTGTACCATGCCGCTGACAATTCTTTGGAAATGCTGTATGTCTTTTTGGGCCTTGGGAAAACAAACGCAAGATGCAGTGTTGTGGTCATTGCAATCTTCATCTGAACGAGCATCAACCTGGTCCATTGAAGGACTGAATGACAACTTGATTTTGTTTAAATACTGAATGTGAAAATGTTTTTAACAACATCCAACAAGTAAGTAATATAAAGTTGCCCATGACCAGGACACAGGCTGTGCCGTGAGACATGGATGCGTTTGCTCGGTGTCGGGAAG